ATATCCTGGGGAGACTGGGCTTCACAAACCACTCAGAGAGAATCTCCCAGGTAGGGAAACGGCTGCGCCTATGAGGTTTTCACTTGCATGAGTAAGTGAGGAGAAAGGATGAACCGTCAGTCTCCAGCTCCCCACAGCCCTGGTGTCCTGCCTGGCCCCAGCCCATCCCCAGCCCCATGAAGGTGTCTGATGCCCAGGGTTGGGGCCCAGCTCCTTGGCTGGGGGTGCGCAGGGGTGGCCTGGCTTCCCACTCAGCTCTCGGCTTCCTCAACTACCAATGCTCCCTGCCAATTCCCTCCTCACTCACTTCATAGAGTGGGGGCGTAGCAAAAATACAGAGCTATGTTTAAGCCATTGCCTGCATTTGAACCTCTCCTTCCAGCCCATTTCTAACTGCAGTGCTTAAACCCCACAGATTTTCATTGCTAGCTGGTCACAGTATTCCTTGTTGTGCTTTTGAATCAGATGAACTGAAATAATTCTGTGAGATCTATTATATCTCTAGCTTGTAAAATATAATAATTTCTTACTGGGTTACACTAATATTTCGTAATTCCTTCTTAATATTATTCTTCAATAAAGCTCTGCGAAAACAATCTATCCCACAGGAGGAACTTTTGCCAGATCCCAGATGTCAAACACATTTGCTTCAAATACAGGAGTTCGTGACCTTTTATGTTTGTTAATGTGACGCCATGGAAATTATTTATAATAAATAAGCACATTTCAGAGTCAGGTGCTCCATGGGCCCTTTTTCAGTGATGCAACAGCCTTTCCTGAAACAGGTCTTTCCTGTTTTGTTGTGGGTTTTTTTCCCCTAACAATGAAGGTTTGGGAACAACTTGAAACACTGTTATTGAACTGAGTCCAACCATTACACTGAGAGGTAGACAGGAACTCTAAAGAAAACTCATCTTTCAAATTTTTCTTGAAATCAGCAACAGATAAGGTTCTACCTTTCTCTTATCCTTTACCCTGAAAATGCAATTTTCAAACTGCAGACTGTATGGATCCAGACAAACACTAAATACATACCACCTACAGCACTGAAACAAAGAGTAAACTACTGGAATTGTTTGGATCCAAATGACACATTTGATATGCCAACTGACTTTTGCATGGAGTAAGCTCATTTTAAAGCTGAGGTAGCACCATGTACTCACAATCTTGCAGGTATAGGGGCTCTAGAAAATATCTGAAGGTGTCAACATGTTGATAACATTTAACCTTACCTTTTTCCAGCAGATGTGACAATGTCTTCCCAAACTTGTGCTGGATTAAGAGTAGCTGGCTCTTAATGAAGCCAGGTGAGAAAAGGATGCAATTGGAAAACACTGGACAGCATGCCTTGGCTCTGTTTCATCCTTTTGTCAAGAGTACCTAAAGGTTTATAATTCCTCCTGAATTTATTGGATTCATCATCTTGGATTCCTAGACACTAGCAGCAGCAAGAAATGCCTCCTGAGGATGAAATGGAACCACTTGCTCCTGCATAAATATGCACCCACAGTCCCTCCTGTTCATCACTCCAGGCTGAAGCTCATGGCCTGCCCAGAACAGCACCCTTGTGCCTCAGTGCCACCCTGGAACCTCTCCTTGTCTTCAGTTAGTTTGGGGCTGGCAGGTATTTACGAGGTTGAAAACCACTATGTAGCTTAGAAGCAACTGTGCAGCTCAAACATATGTGGAGCTGGCTGCGGAGAGACAGTACCAAAGTGTTCTGGTGAATTATGAGGACTCCTTGGATTTATTATCAGAATGTATTAATGATGTGTGTGTACAGAGAAAATCTACTTAGAGCATATGGCAAGACATAACAAGTCAGTAAATCTGTTTTCAAATTCACAGTACATCAAATCTGAATGAGATAAAGAGAAGGTCTAATTTGAACAGCAAAGCATCTCCATACAATTGCTCCTCTAGGCATTGTAGCAACATTTTCAAACAGTGCTGGACATTGTGCAATAAAGCTGTCCTCCTGCAGTTCTGTGGGAAGAGGCAACTAGCTGCAGTCTCAGATGGTGGACAGAATTACAACAGATTATGTCAAGAAAGTGTGATGTTAAACATTCATTTGATAAAAGGAAAAAATAAATAGTCATGAACTGAATTATAGCAGCTTTCTATAATGAAGTGTGTGAACCCCACCCAGCATCTGTGGCAGAGGAGGGAAGGTGTCAGCTAAACCCAAAGGTTATGAAGGGAATGGAAAAAAACAGGCTCCAGCTGAGAGTAGGACAGGGAGGATGAAGAAACAGTTTCATGTTTCTCCCAGCAAAACCTCAAGGGACAAAGATTTCTGCTGCAAAAACTTTAATAGTAGTAAAATCCTCTGGCTGCAGAAGTTGTTTGTAATGAAGGTGTATTAACCGCTTAAAGACTTCAGCCGAAAAGTACTCTGCTATTTCACTGAAATCTAAGTTGAAAAATCCTTTTTTTTTTCTCACAAAGCCTCTGCCTTAGAAAACTTAATTGAGTGGCTACACATGGAGTTTGGCTATGAGACGTTGTAGGCTGTGTGTGCTGGACTTATCCTGATAACGCCCTGGCTTTTGGGTCCTGATAGCTGACCTAATCACTTGGCTATTGCAATATATACTGGATTTTAACTCTCATCATAAGTACATCACTTGATACCAGTTTCTGAAACTAAAATATTTCACAAGCAGTAGTGTTAGATGTTTGCTTGCTCTGAAGGATTCTCAGAAGAGCTGGGTGTTTGCAATCACCAACTGCTTAATTTCATGTAAGCCTTCGTAAACTGGGCAAGAACTACTATGCAATTATGTTTTCCACTTTTGTGTTTGAAAGATTTCAGCGTCCTCTGTGTAAACATTGATTCAACCTCTGAACCTCTTGATTTTTAACATGGAAGTTGGCACGATTCAGTAAGTGTGCACAAGTGGTGAGATCAGGTTTCTGATGCAACGGATCAGAGGGAGAATTCGGGCTGGAGTTTTGCAAAGCTGCAGCCTCCATCAGCATACCTCCTGAAAACTTCGTTCACTGGAATATTTGCACAAAGAGAAGAAAAAGGCTCTTAATGTATTTGAAAGCGTTTGCAGATTTAAGTAATTACTCAAGAACATTGTGTCAGTATTTATCATAGGGGTTTTATTGTTTCAGGTCTAGTTCCTGAAGATTTGAGGCCCAGGGATGATAAAATGCACTCCTGCTTATAGCTACTTCTGGCTACTCCTGTTTCACCAAGAAAAACACTGGCATGTTGTAATCCAATAGCATAAACAGCCTCAGCAACAAGTGAAAAAGTCCGCTGTGCAGCAGTTCAAAACAGATGAGACAGGCCTCGCTGGGGAATATGAGAGGTGAAGCATAGCCCAGACTAATAAATTCTCCTCTATTGGCCCTGCAAGGGTCTGCTCAAGTATCTCAGCCCTGGATTTCTGGAGCTGAGAGCACTGTGGTTTGGCAGAGCCAGCCAAAACCAGTCCAGTTTATTAGCTTGGTCTTAGTATCAGGGGTGCCCTGGGTGGAGGCCACATGAGGAGCATGAGGAGCTGCAGAGCACCAGGAACTAGTGAGGATGAGTGGTTACAATGGCAGCCTGGGATGGACACAGAGAAGACAGGGGCTGAGAGCAGGCATCAGTGAGGCATGGGAACATCATCAGGTTTCTCAAGCAAGATTTAGTTACAGAAAGATTAGCAAGTGCTAGAGCAGAGCATAGGGCATTCCTGATGCTGCCAGGAGGCTGGCAGGGAAGGAAGACTGTATTTGCAGCTGACACAGAGGTCTGAGGAGCAAAAAACAAAGGTAAATTGGTTTCACTGCTGATCTCAGACTAGATTTGTTTGGAACAAAAATCTTCTAAGGGAGGGGGGAGGTTTGTTTCCCATCCTAACTAAAAAAACCATAACACAGTAATGCTCTCCCCCTCCACACAAGATCAGGTTGTCCACATCCCTTACCATGTGCAGCTGCATTTTGTGCTTATTGAAATTAACTTCCTAATTTTCAAGCAGCTGAAAGCAGACTGAAAGATGTGCCCCAAATCATGAAAAGAGCCGCAGGGGTGTGAGAAGGGACCCTCTCAAATTACAGAGCACAGCCTTGCCCTGATTAAGACGGAAACTAGTACTGCAAACTATTTTTTTTCCTTTAACTGCCTTATAAAAAATACTATTTTTAGTGTCCTTTCCTTCATCAGAGAGGCAATCTGCAGTCCCAAAGGCTGGCTGCTACTGCACTGCTGACTCCAGCAGCTGGAGAGCTGCTCAGGCAGGACTGGAAGTCGGTGAGAGCCTGAAAAACTCTTGAGCATGAAAATGCTGACGTAACTTGATAGCAGCAAACTGCATACAGAGACCTTATCAGTAATTAAACAATACACTTTTATGAACAGTGTAAATAAAGCTGTTCGACCATGTAAATTAATTTAGCGAGATGCCTTGAAATGGGTGCTTAATATGCACCTCAGGAGGACTCAGATAATTCTGGAAGCATACCAGGTTACTGGTATTTCTTTAAAACAGTGACCACACATAATCTCATGAGCTCCATTAACAGGAATCAGAGCTCCTCTGCTATATGATACCCAGTACTTGCGACTGGCTCTATGCAGAGATGAACAGAGATGCTTTGTTAGCTCAAACACTATGAGTCTGTGCTTTTGGCAGAGGGTTTCCCTTGCAATGGCTCTGGAGCTTGAAGTAGCTGTGTTATACTGCATGATGACAGGCATGAAATTCTTAGTTAGCAGCAGGTCTGTGGTGCTATAAAATTTAAAATGAAAAATATCATAATAGAAAAACTACAGTCCTGGTGGATGGGGAATCCACGAAAGACCTCAAATCAAGAGCTATTAGAGTCACTGTGCAAAACTTCAGACTGGAAATGTTCATGTTCTCAGAGTGTAAACAGCATTTATTTCGGGAAATACACCCCATTTCCTACTAATGTAGCCCCACCTTCTGCTCATATTTGCCTCCTGGGGTACTTTAGCACTTCTAGTTATCAAAAACTAGAATCGAGGAGAGACCACCTTGAGCCCCCCAGAACTTTTCCTTCCTGCAAGAAAATTTCCAAACCAGAATTTCCTGATGAAATTTCTGAACCAATCCCCCGTGTGAGATCCCTAAATTACCCTACAGACTATGCACTCTTGTGGCAGGGGCTTTCTCATGTGTCCATATAAAGCCTAACTTGACAGGGATCCATATTCCAACTAGACATGCCATTTTCTAAGAACATTGTAAAACAAGAAAGATTCGCCTTTTCCCTCTGAATCAGACGCCCAGTTGTGCTTCTAGCAAAGCGAGGGGCAGCTCTGGCACCGACTTCGCAGGTGTCATGGTCCAGCAAGCGACAGAGTCACTGGCAGCCGTTTGGAGGCAAGTCCGCCCCAGTGAGTAGCTCTGGCGAGGCGGGAGAGTCCCAGGGCGGCGGGGAAACTCCCCCTCCGCGATAGGGATCGGTGAGTAAGCGCTGTGGGAGCGCACCTGGCGGGCGGCGGGGCCGGCAGTGCCCGCTGCGAAGGGCAGGAGGGGGCCGGGCGGGAGGGAGGCAGAGCAGCCCGGGGAGAGCGCCGGGGCAGGGCAGCGCCGATCCGCAGGAGCTCCGCCGGGCAGGAGGCGGCCGGCGGCAGCCGCGAGTGTGCAGAGGGGCGGCCAGGAGCCTTCCCAGCAGGTACTGCGGGAGCGGGAGCGGGAGCGGGAGCGGGAGCGGGAGCGGGAGCGGG